AGCTCGTAAATCAGAATGGAACGTCCCTCCCTAAAGACTCTGTTTATAAAAATCCTCCCCAGTAAGTTCACAGTGTGACTTCCCATTCTGCCTCTCCAGGATGAGGAACTCACCGGGAGCTCCCCTTTCCCCCCTTTAATAAAGCTGCATTAAGCTTTCTCTCGTTCTCTCTGATTTCTCGTTTAAGTCCACTAACCTAACCTAACCTAACCTAACCTAACAAGTATGAGTTGCAAGCAACTTGATGGCACATAACAACAACAACAACAACAACAACAAATATTCCTATACAGAATAAAATAACCAAAAGAATTATCAAGCTGATTCAACAAACAGATTAGGGATAATTTCTAAAACTAAATTATTATCTCATCATCATCAATACATTTAGGAGTTGTTGATGATGAGGAGTACTGTTAAGTTGGAACAGACCCATATGTGACCCTCCAATGGGTTTTTGAAGGCAATTAATCTCACAAGAGGATACTGCCTATCTTTCTCCCTAGGAGCAGCTAGTGGATTTGAACCATGTACGTTTGGGTTGCCAGTGCAACTCTTTACCACTAGACTATCAGAGCTCCCTGCAGCTAGTGGAAAATGCTGGAAATAAATGAACAAAGGAACACATTTCTCCTCTGTTGATCTTTCTTCACCTGTTTCTTCCTATTGTTCCTTCCCTTAAGCAAATCCCACAATACACAGAACTGATAAGTAGTAACTAATTCGATCCTTTGAGTGACATACATCTTCTGTCTCCTTATTTACAGTTGGTGGACAATATTTACTTCACTTTTTATTGAGTATCATGGAAATTAATGCTTAGTTGGCAGCCAAATAACTAATAGCTCTAATAACCAAGTTGTTGTCTTGTATTGACTAGAATAGTGATTATCAGGGTTTTAATTGAGACCTTTCTTATGCTGAGAACAGGTTTCCCAAACCCAGTTTCATGTGGCTGAGCTCTGAAACAGAGAGGAGACCCCAGGGTATCTGCCATCTTCCCCCCATCACAAAAGGTAGGTATCCCTGGCACTGACAAGCTAAGTCCTAGCCTGCTTGCACAGTAAGGAAAGCATGTTACCTTCTTGCACACAGATGGATTTGTCACTTGGGACCCAGCCCAGGGTCCCATTAAGGTGCTTCATGCACAGTCTTTCTGTAGAGCCCTTCAGCTGGAATCCGTCTTGGCAGTGAAACCGGGTCACAGAGCTTTCAAAGAACACCCCTCTGCTTGGGTTCCTGAAGCCATTCTTGGGTGTGCCTGGGTCAGGACACACGTTAAGGTCATCAAATCCTGCATGACAAAGAGAAAAAGGTCCTTCTTAATATTTTCTCCCAATTCTGGAGTCTCGGGACATCCTCAGCTACACTAATACAGCTTAGTGTACATTTCATTCTGCTTTTTGCCCTTTCCTCAGAAAAGCCTTCAGTTCAATGGCCAAGACAATTCCCCAAGTAGTGGAGGAGACTGGAACAAGTCAACAAATAGAAGAAAAGCAAAACAATGCCACAGTGGGGTGCGTGATGAAGGGTGCTGGAGAGAAGAGGGGAGACGCAGCCAGGACAGCCAGGGAGAAGATGACAGGGGCCTGGTCTGGAAGGAGGGCTAAGATTTGCATGACAAGAATTTTATGCCATGGGCATGAAGGTGTCTTAATGGAAACAACCATAGTTGGGACTTGAGACAGTAAGAGGGCACTCTGATGGCCTAGTATTAAGGAACTGCACTGACAAACCAAAGGCATACGTTTCAAATCCTCTAGCTTTTCCTTAGGAGAAAGATGGGTAATCTCTTCCCTTGTAGTTTACAGCCTCTGAAAACCCACTGGAGGGTCAACTATGAGTCTATTCCAACTTGACAGTACACAACAACAGCAGAGTAGGTAAGTATGTTTACAGAGCAGGCGTGCTTTCCCATCCCTCTGCTGTTCTAAGTGCTTTCACAGACCACAGCCAGCTCAGCTCATGTCCCCATGCCTGGGTCTTGTGGCTCCACAGAAATGCCACAGGCCATGGTAGCTGAGGGTTGGACAGAAAAGAGGCATGCGAACAAAGGGTGAGGATCAAGAGGATGTGATAGCATCTTCTTGGACAACTAATTTCATTGAGCAAGGTAGTAATTTTCTAAGGTTTATGGGCGCCTCAGAATTCTACTTCTCAAATGATCCCCTAGAAGATCAATCCCCAACTGGGGTCATTTTTCTGTAGAGCTGTTCCTTTAGTGTCCTTCTACAATGATGGTGATTGGACCTGTCAGTTGGCATATCCATTAGGGGGTGGGCTAGTTTACACATTAGGGTAAATAACTGTGGGCCAGCCTGTTCAAATAATCTTGCCTAGGAACCTGAAGTCCCAAACTAGTCTCTTCCTACTCTTCAGATTCTGTTTTAAAAACAAGGAGCCTCAATTTGGCAGAAAAAGTTACAGAATAATTTCCTAGGGTTTTGTTTTGGTTTTTTGGGAGAGGGTGTGAGAGAAGGGAACATCTGTTGTTCTAAGGAAGCCTGGATGACTTGCTGTTTTGTGAGATGCCGTCGAGTTGAGTATGCTTCATAGTGGCCCTACAAACAAAACACTCTGTCCTACCCTGTGTCATCCTCTCAGTCTCTGACACACATGGCACTGTGTCAGTCCACATAGTTGAGGGTCTTCCTCTTCTTTACCTTGCTTCCACCTTTCCAAGCATGATGCCCTTCTCTAAGGAATAGCCTCTCCTAACAACATGCCTAAAGTATATGAGATAAAGCTTCACCATCCTTGCTTACAAGGAGCACGCTGACTGAAAATTCTCCAATAGATATGGGTTTGTTCTTTTATTCAGTCCTCTTCTCCAATACCACAGTTCAAAGACATTTCTTATTATTGTTCAGTTCTCAAATGCATAACAAGTGATTGAAAAGACCATGGCCTGAATCAGGTTTACCTTAGTCTTCAAACTAACATCATTGTTCTTCAGTAATTTGGAGAGGCTCCTGAGTGTAGACTTTCCCAGTGCAACATATCTTCTGATCTAATGACTGCTGGTATCAAGTGTATTGATTATGAATCCAAGTTAGGTGAAGTCGTTGACAATTGATACTCTTTTCTCCATCTATCATGATGTTGCCTATAGGTTCAATGGTGAGTATTTTTGCTTTCTTGATGCTGAGATTGTACAGCCAATCCAAAGCAATGTGGTTCAAATCCTCCAGCTTGTCCACAGGAGCAAGATGGGCAATCTCCACCCTTGTAATTTACTGCCTTTGAAAATCCACTGGAGGGTCAGTGATGGGTTGGTTCTGACTCAACAGTACACAACAGCAGCAACAACAGAACCACTGGTGGTGCAGTGTGTGCAATGCATCTGGCTGCTATCATAGCCCCATGAAGGAAAAACATGGGCAATCTTCTCCTGTGAAGATTTAGAGCCTCAAAAATCCACGTGGTGGTTGTTAGGAGCAGAACTGACTCAATGGCAGTGGTTATAGAAGAATCAGTCTTAGAAAAGATACAACTAGAGTGCTTCTTAGAAGCAGCACCTGGCAGCATTTTCTGTCCAGGGCCTCATCTTTTCCTGATGACATGTTCAAAGTAAGTGAGCTGAAGTTGGCTATCCTTGCTTCAAAGGAGCATTCTGACTGTATTTCTCCTAAGATTTGTTTATTCTATACCCACTACCACCAGGTTGATTTCAAGTTACAGTGACATCACATATGAGAGAACAAAACAGCCCTCTGCTGCACCTTCACAATCATTCCATGCTCATGCCCAGGCTGCAGCTGCTGCATCAATCCATCTCTGACCCTCCACCTTCCGCAGCCTTACCTCCTTCTTCAGGGACTAGCGTCTCCTGACAACACACCCCAAATGTCTGAGATGAAATGTCACCATCCTTGCTGCTAAGAAGCACTCTAGTTATGCAGATTTGAATAGAAAATCACAGCACAGTTGGTAAATACAGAAAGCCAACAAGAATGAGGGAGATGGATTGACAAGAAAGGTTTTAAGCAAGGGCTTAAACATACCAGTGATAGTGAAGACAGCAAAAGAGGTTGCCATGGTGTTGTTAGATGCCACTGAGTCAAGTATGACTCATAACGACCCTGTGAACAACAGATCTGAACCCTGTCCTTTCCTGTGCCATCTTCACAGTTGCTGACACACCTGACCCTACTGCTGCAGCCACTGTGTCATCCACCTGGTCACGAGTCTCCTTCTCTTTTGCCATCCCTTCACATTGCCAAGCATGATGTCTCTCTCCAAGGAATAATCTTTCCTAGAAATATGGCCAAAGTATGTGAAATGAGGCTTTATCACCTTTGCCTGTAAGAAGCACTCTGCTTACACCTTTCCCAAGACATATCTGTTTGTTCTTTTGGCCGTCCATGGGATGTTCTGTACTCTCTTCCAACACCACAGTTGAAACGCATCAATTCTTCCATCACCTTTATTCATTGTCCAGCTCTCAGTACCATAACATGTTATTGATAAGACCATGGCCTGCATGGGAAATTACAGGAGAAAGATGGGCAATTTCCTTCTATGAGATTTACTATCTTTGAAAATCTACTGGAGAGTGAGCTGTAGGTCAGTTCCAACTTGCAGTAACTAACAACAGCAGCCCAAACCCGCTTCTATTGAGTCATTTCTGACTCAATGGAACCCATACCAGGTTTCTGAGATTGTAAATCTTTAAGCAGCTGGTGGATTTGAACCACTAATGTTTCACTTAGCAGCATGACACATTAAGCATTATGCCATCAGGGCTCCTTACTAATAACAGAAGTTCCTCTCAAATGCAATCTGGTGTGTAACCCTACAAGGCAAAAGTCAAGTTTTCTTAAAGGCACTGGGCCCTTTAAAAATGCTAAGGAGCATCTGGGCAAAAGGGTCAGCACACTAGCTGAAATGGTCTATGGTGTGTTACCCTGCTGGTAGTGGCATCAATGTCATAGCACTAGTTTCTCTGTCCAGATTTTGTGACCCTAGATCCCAGAGCAAGTAAAATTCAGGGGTGTAATCTGCACACTGGTTCTCCCTGGAGAGCAAAGTCCTTTCCTGTACTTTTCTCCTCCCCCTTGATTTGTGAGCAGCATTTCCCCAAATCCCCTGACTCATCGAGCAGTGGAACACTGTTTGGTTACTTTTGAACCTGCTGAAAGCCCCCAGGCAGCTTTACTGTGAGTGAGTAAGAAGTCTTTGAAAGGAATTATAAAAAATGAAAGAAGTGTGAAAAGTAATCTTTGGGTTATTATCACTGAGAAGTCCTATTGTAGAAGAGAAGAGTGTATCAAATGAAGCCAAAACAATTTAGAACTAGCGCTAGGTTTCCATTTCTCTGCAAACCACTGTATGAGTCTTTTAGGAAGAAATAGTATATAAACACAAAAAATGATTTTGCATGCATTTAGTCATTAAGATGGTTTTCTGGCTGGTGGAGGGGCACCCCTGCTACAGTGTCCACAGAAGTATCTGCAGGTTTTAACTGGAATCCTAAGAAAGCTCTGGTTACCTCCTGTAATGCTTTCTGTCAGCCTTGCACTCTGTAAATTTACTGTAAGGCTATCTTGGGCTGCCAGAGGGAAACCTTGAAGCCCAGACAGGTCTAGGCCAGCCTATTCACACCAGGATACTAATTGCAAGTCAGAAATTTGGTCTTCTGACTTTTAACCCAGAATTGGTTTGTAAATGGCCCAGATGTTCACAACACTGTAAACTCTTGAGGTTAAAAAAGCAAACAAAACCCATCCCCAAACATTCTAACTGTGGTTGAATCCCCATAAACAGGTGTGGTCAAGTGTTTAACGTTTCAAGTTGAAACGGTGCACATGAGTGCCCCAAAGCCAATCCCTCCCACACCCTGCCCACAGCACAGTGCAACACAGTAGGGCTACAGACTTGTCATCTAAAATGTTCATGAATCATTTACATAATATGAATACTATGCAGCACTAAAAACAACTGGCCATAAATTGTTTTTGAATTTGTAAAACATTACACAACATGGGTAATCCTAGAGGACATTATGCTGAATGAAATATCTCCATCACAATAGGACAAATACTGCATAACACCACTGTTATAGCAGGACTGACATGGGAGGAGTGAGAGGAGAGTAAGAAAAGAGTGGACAATGAACACTGCATTGGAACAGATGAGGGGAGCAACTGTTTAAAAGGAATAAATGATTAGCCATTATAAGTATGACAACAATCCAAAATAAGAGGTGCCTTGCAAAGTGAACTGAGGTAGGGGCAAGCTAAGAGGATGGAGGATGCATTATGCAACAATGAATGAATCAAAATCAAACTTTTC